ATTAGTGAGAAATACCACATCTGTTTTTCCATAAAATAGAAGGGAGGTTGACGTTGCCCATCGTCGACAGCCTAAAGCCTTCGACCATCGATGTGACTCGTCTCACACCAGTGTTTTGGGGTTGTGAACTTGTCTAAGACCCCCCATAATTAGACATCCAAATTCAAAATTCACATAGTTGGGATTGATCATAAGATGCCTTCTCTAACTAAACAGAGAAGGGGGAGATGCCAGAAGCCAGGACCCTCGCCCTTACCCTCACCCCCTACCTTTCCCCACCTGCACAATGTCCTCTGAAGCTTGGCAACTGCAAGATCCTGCTTAGCAACTGCAGATAGACTCAAAGCAGTGTACCATATCATCTTAAGAATAGCAGGGAGACCATAACTCAAGCAGTGTACCATATCTTCTTTAGAACAGCAGGTAGATCATAATTCAAGGCAGAGTACCTTATAGACCATGACATGTTTCAAGGCACAGGCCAAGAAGATTTTGTACTTTTCCACCACCTTGCCCTTCTTACCCCCTCCCCTTGTAAAACATGCTATAAAAAAGCATTAAAAAAAAAAGAAAAAAAAAAAAGAATGAGGACATCATGAATTTTGCAGGCAAATGATTGGAACTAGAAAAAAAAATCATCCTGAGTGAGGTAACTCAGACCTAAAAGGACATGCATGGTACGTACTCAGTAATAAGTGGATATTAGCCCCCCCAAAATGTACAGAATACCCAAGATACAATCCACAGAACTCAAGGAGGTTAACAAGCTGAAGGATCCAAGTAAGGATGCCTCAATCCCACTTGAGAGGGAGGGGAAAAAAAGGAATCAGGGGTCGGGGAACAAATAAAGGAGGGACCTGGTTGGGAAAGGGGACAGGGAGAGGAAAAGGGGAACATGATTAGGTACTGGGGGATGGGGGAGATTCAGGACTGAAGCCTTGAGGGCCAGCAGAAAAATGGAAAAAGGCAACCTCGGAGGTAGAGGTGAGGCACCCCCTGCAATTGACCAGGGACCTAGGAAGTGAGAGATACTCAGAACTCAGAGGGAGGGGCCTTAGATTGTAAGTAACTTCATAGTTAGGGTGGGATTTTGTGCCTACTTTCCCTTCTCAGGCCTGGGATTTTATGTGTTTTGAATCTGTATGTATCTTATGCATGCTGTCACAGTCTCTGAGTTCATATGTGTATTATCCCTGTTCTATGTGGAAGTCAATGTTTCCTTGGAATCATTAACTCCTCTGGTGCTATTTATTTATTTATTTATTTAATGGATGGGTGATGGCTCATGGGACACTATTCATTATTGTTATTATTATTATTAATCATCCAATTTGTTTACATCTCAAATGAAATCCCACTTGCCAGTTACCCCTCCACAACCCCCCCATTCCATATCTTCCCTCTTCTCCCTCCCCTTTGCCTCTGTAGGTGGAGGACCACCTCTGGCTCTTACAATCTTTCTGATTCCTTTTCTGTGTAGAACTCTGAGCCTGAGAGAAGGGTTTGATAAAAATATTTCACTTACGACTCAGTGTTTCAAAGCCTCAATCTTATGCACATTGTCCAGTTGTGAATCTCTTTATAAATAAATGTCATATATGTAAAGAAGAAAAAAAAATAGAAGGGAGGAAGGTTCTCAAGTCAGGTGACATTTAGAGAACATTCTGTCTTTCACCCATTGTCAATGACAGTGACCTGTTACTTGGGTGGCTTGCAAAATGTCCTCCTATGAGAGTGCTCAGCAGAACCCAGAGGAGTCTCTCATATCACACTGTGTCTATGTCAAGTAGCATTTCAGATCTCAGACTTTCATCTCTCAGACCCTCAGAGGCCGAAGCAGAGAACAGAAGCCGGGAAGGAGATGGAGATCCTTCAAAATGCAAGCATGCATGCATATATCCCTTGCCTCAGAGCTGGGGCCCAGCCTTTAAATGAGTGTTCTTTCCCTACCATGAAGGGATACAAGACCGGAAGGCAAGTCCCTGGTTGTGCTTTGCCATCTTGGGGTAACCTGTGGTCCCGCTGGTGAAGAAGATGGCCATGGGATCCTTCATCTTTGACTTAATGCAGGTATGGTCTGGGGAGACTGATCTGCAAAGAGATTCAAGGTAAAGGAAGAAACAAATCACACGGTTGCTTTCCCACCTTCTGATGATGCGACAACATACATGAAGAGTCAACTGGGGAACCTGGAAATGTGCATGGCTGGAGGACAAACAGTGGAGGTTTCCCACTGGCTGGGGTGATTTGGACAAAGGGCCTGGTGTGTCTTTAATTGAAAAATTTGAAAAAAAAAAAAGATATGGACTAAGGCACTACATAACACTTAGCTAGTACTGTGACACCACTTTAAGTGAGCTGGAAATGGGAACTTATTGGACAGAGATCCCAGCAGCTCTGGGTGGGAAGCTTCATCCTTTTGATCTACTTGTTCTCCGAAGCATTTTCCCAAAGGATGCTCTGAGCCTTTTCTGATTGTAGAAGTAAGCTAGTTTTTTTTCCCCTGAAAATAAGCTTGTACTAACTACTTAACATCGAAGAACACCAGTACTGCTGGCCTTCTTAAGCAAGCCATGGCATCACACTCACTAGGTAATCTGAATGACTTCCCAAACATTTTCTTGATCTTAAACTGTCTTCAGTAAACTCTCTGACTTTATGAAAGGTCACTAGGCTTTACTATGGAAACAAATGGCTTTAGAAACAGAGGTGTTACTCCACGGAAGGAAGCAAGCCTTGCACAGTTCCTGCCCATGCTGAGTATTGCTGGATATGTCTGAGTCTGAATGTTAACAAAAGTTTTTCCTGGGAGGTGCAGGGGGTTGGGGGGGTGATCTTTCTCCAGTCCTACCTTAAGCTTGCTTGTAAGGTGTCCCCAAAAGTACTCAGGAAATAGAAGATATTGACCCCTAGAGTTGCTATTGCATCGTCTCACTGAACTTAGAACTTTAGTTTCTTATCCTTATTTGATTTTGAGAAATGATCTCACTGTGTAGCCCTGGCTGTCCTGGAACTTGCTATGTAGATTAGTCCCATCGTGAACTCGAAGAGATCCATCTGTTCCTGCTTCCTGGGTGCTCAGATTAAAGTCATACACTACCCTACCCTGTTCAAGTTGCTGTGAAGTTTCACATTTCACCTTGAAAATTCATTTTCATTAAACTTCTTCATATATGCATTTTTATATGTTGAAAGGTTCCTTGTCTACATGGGATATGCAACACACTTGTCTTCCGACTTTGCAACACTCCTTTGCTCGGCTTCTGAGATGAATGTACTTTAATGACAAAACATAGAAGTTCAGCTTCCTGACTTTTCAGACAAGGAACTGAGGGCCAAGGAAATCAAAGAGGAGAAGCAAGAAGCCCAGGTTTACAGCAGATGAATGGCACGGCAGGGAAGAGAGTTTCTAGCATCCAGTCTCGAACGGCCTCTTGTACTAGTTACCTGTCTTCCAGTGCTTGGAAGGAGATGGTTTTCTTCCCTATTCAGAAACCACACTTATCAGATCAGAAACTCACTTAATCAGTGACTGGAAGTTAAGCCACCCTTCATGGCTGTGATCAGACACCACCAGCTTGGTTTTCAGACCAGGACACTCAGAAGCCACAGATTCCACCTCTGGGACAAGGCTGTCTGTGGTCACAATGGCTTTGGCTTGAGACATTTGTATTCGGTAGAGAATGTCCTTGGCTTTCAGTTGGGTAGTCCCAGGCATGAAGATGATCCCTGGGAGTAAGAAAGGATGGCTTGCTTTCACATCCATGTGCTTAGGCCCAGCTCATCTGCTGAGAATTCCCACAATACTGTGCAAATTATGGCCCACTGACCATCTACATCATGGGGGATAGAGAGTCTCACATCCCGTGACAAATCTTATCCTCATAATCACACACTCATCATCAGAATCTTAGCAATATATCCAACTGATTCCTACAAACGTAAAAACTGTAGCCTCTTCCTTAATCCTTTCTACTCTAGATGAGTCCAAACAGAGGGTAGATGGATCTTGGGTTGCACTCATTAGGCCTGTGTCCCTGTGTGTCCCTGTGTGGACAGCATTGCTGACATTCAGGACTGACATTCAATACTCTCTACTCCATTTCCTCTTCCTCCTCATCAGTCACTTGAAGTCATCTAGAATGTCATCTGTTTCTTTTACCTCAAGTTTAGCCACACTGTCCTCTTCATGTTCCTGTGTGCTCTCTTCATCAATACCAGCACTTCCACCACCAGTGAGTTCAAGCATGGCTGCTCCACTAAAAGCACATCCTTACTAGATGCCCTGTTCTGAATCCTGCTACCACCTCAAGTACACAAAGCACAGACCTTTCCCTCCACATCTCTTCTCTGAAGAATACCTGTGCCCTCTGTCTCCAGGAAGATACCCTATTCCCTATTCTGATATTGAAGGCACCTCTCACTCTTTATCTGTCTTTCTTCCTCTTTATTTTTTTTCTTTCAAAATGGCTGTGTGTATGCATGTAGGTGTGTACACTGTGGGCACATGTATGTGTATGTGCATGTGTATGCATGTTCATGTGTGTGTGTGTGTGTGCATACCTTTGTGTGTATGTGTGTGTGTGTGTCTGTGTGTTTGTCCTGATTAGTAGTCTTTGCATGTGGAGAATCCATTATTGGACCATCTTTCTTTGCTCGTAGCCTTCTTTAATTCTTCTCACCTCAGAGGATTCAATTATATAGCCTTGGGCTTCCCATTATCCATTCCTTGGTTATAGAAACATAGTTTTTCTTCTCTATGTTCTATTTGCCTGAGCTATCAGTTCTTGGTTCCATATTGTACTCTGCTAGATAATGAAAGGGAAAGAAAAAGAAAAGAAGGGAAGGAAGCAGGAAGGGAGGGCAGGAGAGAAGAAAGACGTGTTATAGAATATGCATGCTGAGATGAGGAAGGTGATTGCAAGAACAGAATCCATGAGTTCTACCACAGTTTGCATATGAAACATCCCCAAAAGTTTCAGATGTTAAAGGCCAGATCCTCAGCTGGTAGACTAAAGGCATTGAAAGGTGTTTGGATGACAAGGTCTGTGAACTAATGAACAGACTAACCTTATAGATGGACTCATAGTTGGATGAACTATTGGGGTGGGGGGAGTAGTCTTTGTTGAAGTGGTTCATTGGAAGTGTCATTACAGGTTATCATGTTCCTGATCGCTTCCTGACTCTTGTGTTTTGTTTCCTGGTTCCATGAGTTGGCCACAATACTTTGTTCTACCACATGTATACACGATGATCTGCCTCAGGCAGCAACTGAGCCAGGCAGCCATGGGCTGAAATCATGAGACAAGGCAAACCTTTCTGCCTTTAGTGTGGTGTTTCCTCAACTATTGGCCACAGCAGTGAACGCCTGAAATACAAAGGCCCATGTGGATTCTAAATTATTCATCAATGTGGATAAGTAATTGTAAAAGGAAGAGAAATCTCTGAGTGTGATTTTTAATTAATGACATGTCAAGGTTATGATACAGATGGAAAACCTCCCTATAAGGCCACAATAGTAACACTTGACACAGTGAATCGTCATTCATGGACAGCCTAATCATATAAAAGTCTCCTGGGGAACAAGATTCACAGCATCATGCAGGGGAAAGCAGGTAGATGCTCCCTGACTTAAGTGATGAAATATTTATCCCTGATGCAGGAGAAAGCACACTCCACACACTCGGACACGGTGCACTGAGGAAGGCAGAGCCCTGCTTTGTAGGATTGCAGTCAAACACAGCTCAGCTGGGGAGAACTACAAAGGCAGAAACATAAATCCGGAAACTGAGCTGTATTCTACAAAATGACCGACTTGGATGCTTTAAAAATGCCACTGCCATGCAGAGAAGTCTGAAACACTGTAGGTTAAAGGAGATGGAACAGAGCTGACCAGTACATGCAATGCACGATTCTCGGTTAAATTTAAAGAGAAACTGGCTCTAAAGGATATTGTTTGGTTAATCAAAGAAAGTTTGTTACTCGTGTATGGGCAACTATAATGCACTATGAGTTTGTGAAGGGTACATCTTGGGTTTTAGCAGATTTTTATGTTCCTGTGCTCACAGGTACTTACCTGGTACTTGTAGGTTTCACAATATCCACAACCGATTCTGAGAGAGGAAGAGAGTGGCACGTGACATTGTGTTTAGAGCATATTAATTCCTGAGTGTTAGGGAAAGCGAAGAAAGGTGTGTAAACATGTGGGAGTGGGAGAAAGAGACAGACTTGAAGAATAAGGAAGATATAAGGAAGAGACAGATGTTTTGTCTCCAACTGATCTGTCCATCCTCAGAGGGAGGGAGAGACGCTTCCTCTGTGGTTCCAGCATAGAAACCAAGACCAGAGGCCCAGAGCTTCATTTGTACTAGGCTGTGTCCACAGCACCTGCTGTCCCAGAACTGAGGCCCAATGGGTCCTGTGTGTGAATCACTGACCTGTTCGAATGCAGCCCACTGTAACCAGCCACCACTCGGGCACTCGAGGCAGGATCAAGGCCAGACGATCTCCTTGCTGCAGGCCACAAATCTGCTCCAAGGCGTTAGCAGTGCGGCAGGTGAGCTCCCTCAGCTTCCGGAAGCTCCACTTTACTTCCTCTCCTTGTCCATTCACCCACCATAAGGCCGGACTTGGTCCTCTCTTGCCCTTCTAGTTAAGATTAGATATCAAATGTCACTCCTGCTTTCAAGGAAGAGGACAGCCTACTACCATAGTCACATTCCAGCATGAGTCTAGTACAGTGAGGTCCCATCTGAAGACATTGACAGACTCCAGAGAAGTAGGGAATGAATTGGGGACTACCCCACAAGTCACATGTGGCCACAAATACTCTACAAGCTTTCCACCGAAGAGAAACAATTCTGCTTTTCCTTTTGTCCGTTCTAGGTTGATTTAGACAGTGATTTTTCTCTCTTTCCCTCAGTGTTTCCATCTATGAAATGGGGACAACATTATTGCCTAAACAACAGTAAATGTTAGATAAATGAACCATATTAACAGTGTTTGGCACAAAGTAGTTGCTCAATAAAATAGCATCATTACAAAAGGAAAGAAGCTAAAGTTGTGGCTAAATGTTTAGGTAACACTTTAAAATTGAGGTGTTACTTGTGGTAGGATGTGAACGCAGAATAGAAGGAATTTACTGGTCTTTGTTTTCTCACAGAAATATCAAACAATAACAGATTGCCCAAAGTAGTTTGGTGAGAACCCTAGAAATCAGTGAAGGACCTGCAAGGGTTTAGCACTAAAGCCACACTCAGAATGCAGGGCAGTTTGTGTCATTCTTTTTTGCCCTTTCTTGCCATGCCTGTGGTGTGGTACAGCACAATCAAGGAGAGGCCATCCAATTCCAGGCTCATGGAAAAGGCTGGAACTTGTCTGCAGTGTCCTGGCCTATCTTGGAGACACTGGGTGAACCACTTTCTCTCCTGCCTGATTTAAAGGTCACAGGGGAATGCCATCATAGTTTGACTCTTACGTTGGCTATCTCTGCATGGGTAGCAGATTCTGTGATATGTAAAGATTGGTGGGCACCTATGACAGAGAGATGATAGAGCAGGGAACACACAGAACTGCCAAGGTCGCGAGAAGCAGCACAGGTGAACTCCTACAGGGGAACTGGAGTTAGTGACACTGGCTATGTAACTGTGAAAACCGGCACGGGGGAGAGGACATCGAGGACTAGGGAAGGCAAATGTCAGAAGGGCTTCAGATGATATCAAGCCCTCAGCTAGCCACATTAGAGACTGTCTTCCTTTATTGAGTTAGTCTACGTGACTGAAAAAAGGGGGGGGCTTCTTCTCCCACATGTCCAACATTCAATCAGTTACGACAGGCATGCAAAAACTTATGAGAGATGTTGTCTATTCAAAGGGACAAAATCGCTCCCCTGAAACAGAAACTCAAGCTGTATTAACTTTGTCTATTAGAGATTTAAAAAAAAATATTTGTGTTAAATTTGCTCAAACAGCTAAAGAAAAACACAAAGATCAAAAGCAGATCAGAAACATTCCAAACGGATCCAACGGCACTATCAATAGAGGAGTAACCTTCTAAAAGAGAGATAAGTTAAATTCTAGGACCCAGAATACTGTATTTGAATAATCATGCGGTAAAGGGGCTCACCAGGAGAAGCAATAGGCAGAAGAAACAAACGGACGAAGGTGAGTGTAGGTCATTTGAATTGCTGCTCATGAAGAACAAGAATGAAGAATCCCGCAGGGTTCCAGACCCACGTGCATAGTCTGGGATTCTCAGGAGAAGACACAGTTTATCTGAAGAAGCAATGGCCCCAAACTGCTGGGTTTAAGGAAAGATCTACATAATCTAATACAAACAGCTCAACAACTTCAGGGGAATCCCAAAGAGACCTGTGAGAATTGTAATTAAAGGCTGGAGGCACTAGCCTGATCTTGAGTGTCTGAAAGAAAAGCAACTCATGGTGTCCAAGTCCAAGAAACCCTCAAGGAGACTGTCCATCAAGTTCTCAGCAGACGCTTTGCAAGGTGAGAGTACACGGGATCATATATTTGAAGTGGGGAGAGAGAGAGAAAGAGAGAGAGAGAGAGAGAGAGAGAGAGAGAGAGAGAGAGAGAGAGAG